GAGTTTACCTGGAGAGAGTTTCGGGGGTCAACGCCCCCGCGGCCCGGTCTGTGACCAGGCCTCCTGGTGGATCAGAGCCTGATCAACCAGACTGTTGCTGCTGGCTGCACGCAAACCAACGTACGAGCCACAGCCCGGCTGATCAGGAACTGAATTTAGGTGCTTGTCCAGTGCCAGCTTGAAGACTGCCAGGGGTCTGTTGGTAATCCCCCTTATGTGTGCTGGGAGGCAGTTGAACAGTCTCGGGCCCCTGACACTTATTGTATGGTCTCTTAACGTGCTAGTGACACCCCTGCTTTTCATTGGGGGGATGGTGCATCGTCTGCCAAGTCAGGCAGGGGGTCTTAACAATGCAAGACAAGCCACGGGGGTGGAAATCTTTAGCTCAAGTACTTTCACACTTCTCAGTGTGTAATCAGTATCAGCAGAGCTAATGTATATGTTTGTGTAATATATCTTAGTATCGTGGTTAGTACCATCTCTATATTTTATATACACGATCCCTTGCTAGGCTTAGTGGCTAGCATGTGATGTCACACAGTGCAGCTGTGAGCGTCGCTCACCATGCCCCTCAGTTTGCAGATAAACCTACAGGTAAGAAGGCTAGGCTGGGCTTCCCCTCACGACTCTGCTAATACAAGTGTTACCATCCATACCCAAGTGTATTTCTACACCTCCTTTATCTCCTAGAACCCCCACGTTACACCAGGAGCTGTGCAATGTTGCAAAGGCAACAACAGGAGATGTAGGGTAAGTTTTCAGAGAGTGGTAGCGTCAAGCCAGCCAGCCAGAGACTGGCTGGCTCCACACTTACTCTTCAATGTGTGTGTGTGTGTTTCCAGTACTGGAAACACATTACAATGTTTGTGATGTATATAAATCTGTAGCTAACCCCTTACTATGCTAAGTGACCACTTACTACTCTGTGATCATTTACGTGACCACTTACTATTTTTACTAATCCTTCACTGCTGTAAACGTTTAATTACTCTTGTAACTTGTTTTACTAAATGAATGTTGAGGCCCAGCTCCTGAATCCATTAATTTTGTATCTCTTTGACGCTAAGAGACAAAAACTATCAGGGGCCCAAGACTGTTCAACTGCCTCCCAGCATACATAAGGGGGATTACCATTAGACCCCTGGCTGCCTTCAAGAAGGCGCTGGACAGGCACCTAAAGTCAGTATCTGACCGGCCGGGCTGTGGTTCGTACGTTGGTTTACGTGCGGCCAACAGTAACTGCCTGGTTCATCAAGCCCTGATCCACCACGAAGCCTGGTCATGGACCGGGTCTCGGGAACACCCTCCAAGTATACTCCAGGTATACCACCCACTCGATGGGTATAAGGTATCTTGTAACAAAATAATGGGTATGGGGGTAACTGCCAGCCCTAGGATGGGTAAAGCGGCTACAACCCAATATACAAATATCCCGCACATGGGAGAATGAAACTTATGACGACGGTTCGGTCCGACTTGGACCAATGACTGGTCACATGTTATCGGCATGTGTTCTGATTTTGTGCTGTTGATCTTGACAATTTGTTTCCTATTGCTCAAGTAGTACTTAAACCAGTCTACAGAAAAAAAAAAACATACCAGGGGTGGGATTAGAACCCGCGATCACAGAGTCTCAAAACTCAAAAATCGTGTCATTACAATTTCGTGATTCAGTCTACAGAAGCTATGCCAATAGCTTCTAGTTTCTTACATAATATATTGTGGTTGACCGTACCAAAGTTTACTAAGAGTTTAGCGACATTTCAGTTCTCAAGTCCATCAGATTAATTAGGGAAGTGTCGGTTGAATGAGATCTCCTAAAACCTGATTGGTAACTATGGAGAATGTTTTTGTTATTAAGATACTTAACTACTTGACAGTATACCGCCCTCTCTAGAATTTTGGATATTACACTGAGTATACTAACAGGCCTATAGTTGCTGACTATTTTTCTTGAACCACTCTGAAACGGTATTAGTGGTGATGGACAAATTTGTTATGTGCGCAATGAAGATTAGCAGTTTACAGGCGCCATCTTATATGGAAAGTACTGGTTATATAGGTTTTCAAGTAATTTAAGATTACATTAAAGATACATACTTACACAAATTCATATGAGCATTATAATCCCCACTGGTAATTTGTTTCTCTTTTAATGTTTTTAGGTCCTCATACTAGCCTATAAATTCTCCCGAAAAAAAATGCATTAGTTTTTTTTCGTATCCAGATATGTTTCAGGGAGTTTCACTATTTCTCCCAGTTGACTACCATTTATTTATGTAAGAATTCTCATTGTATTCATAATGACTTCCTCAGCATCTACTTAACCATTATCAATGCTAAATTCATCATTAGTATCACTAAGCTTATCTTCACTTTCTCTCCCATCGTCACTTTCTTTATCACTATCATGACAGTTTTTACTGGCAGTTTGTCTACTTCTCTATTACTTTCTTCAGTTTTACATTGGTGTTGTCATCTTTCTCATTTTCAGTATCATCAGCACTACTATCCTCCAGATGCTGTTTCTCAGTTTTTTAATAACTTAGTTCTGTATTTTTTCTCCACTAAATATTTTAATGCATTTGTACCGACAGTCACTTCCAGGAGCTACTGCATCTTACTTTCAAGTATAACTATAACATGATTTTCATCTAAATCATCATAGCTTCTCGACTGGCCTTGTCAATTAAGAACTGTGGTGGAGCCATCAACCACACTGGACGGCAACCGTCCCCGCTGGATGTCAAACACTCATTGCTTCCTCTGTTTATTATACAGTACTCACTATTCTCAAGCTTGTAGAAATTACTACTACAGGTAATTTAATTATTTCTAACTCCATAGCTTCATCACTTGTTCATTTCATTAGCCCGACATCTTAATGTTGCATGCTTCTGTATGAAACCAGACGCAAATACACACAAATTAACAAAAATGGGATTAGAGTTGAGCTTTTGTGAATTCACTCTCACATAGGGTTCCGGGAGCATGGTAAAGTAGATGACATAGTTAAACTAACATTAAACAAAAAGACTATCCAGTGGTTTCTGAATCAAAAGCTAAAAACAAATATTGTTAGAAAAAACTAGCAAACGAATCTGAAGTAGAATATACATACATGAACTATCAGATCCATTACCCATCATAATGAAATGTGCCAAGTAAACGTGTCTATGGATTAGAAGATTAGCAGACGCTGTCACTGCTAGACTAAGGCTAGGCTATAAGTTACTTGGGCAGTATACAGTAGCTCTATAAGGAAATGCTAATGATATGAATTATGTGGACAAAGACAGGGTCACGCACCAGAACATTATATTTCAGTGTGTCGAAACAGCCATTCATTTAGAGACACATTCTGGCAAACCTTACAGGAAATGACAGCTCACTTTGCTGCTGCTGTTGTTCTCTTGCTTAGCATGAGACCCAGCGCCTCTAATACCCCGGATTCCGCAGCAGGGTATCACCTCGTTTACACTATCCTTGGGTCCGTCGCAGTTATTGTAAACAGCACACTATACCTCTCTCTGGAGAGGAATCTGTGGTTTTACTCGGGTGTTTGTGAAACATAGTAATAGAATATTTTCCGTGTTAGTAGTGACTTTGTAGGTAACTGGTTCAGAGAACCGCCTACGACTGCTTCGCCTCACCTGTCTGCAGCATATAAACTCCTTCTTCTTTGCTGAACACTTTTCGAGATTGATGGGCTGATCACATCGAATCCAGGCTGAGGGACTGATTACCTCAAACGCCTGATCTTCAACTATTTTCTCTTTATTGGACTGAGGAAGCCACTGGTTGGTGAAACGCTTCCACAGTGAAGATACCCAAGTGTTGTACAAGTATCTAATTCATCAACTAGTGACTTTTAATTCTGATGTTGCTTTTCATGCTGGTGTTGTGTTCCATTCTGGTGTTGTCTTCCTTGCTTGTGCTTGTTTCATGTTGGTGCTGTGTGTTTCATGATAGGTCTGTGCGTGACGTGTACAAAGTCCTAAATTTTTGTTGTTGTGCTGTGCTCTACATTGTGTGCGTTGAGGAGGGGAGGAAGGGTGTGTACTCACCATGTGTTTGCGGTAGAGTCGAGATTTAGCTCCTGATCCCCGCCTTCTAGACTTTTTATGGGAATAATTAAACTATATGATACTGATAAGTTGATAAACAGCATGTATGAAGATATTCTTATTTGAGAGAAGATACGAGCCTAAAGGCCATCATTGATTTCTGGTCTCTTGAGCCTTATCATATTTGTACTCTTGAAGGTATGTACCAAGTTTGCCTCCACCACTGCCTCATCCACATCATTCCACCTTTCGACCACTGAGACTCAATACAACCTTTCATCTCTACTGCCCATCTGCTGGTGTTGTGGTCCACCTTCATTCCACCTGTTTTCCACTTTCTGCCTTATCACTTACTCTTATGATTTTGTATGTGATAATCCTGTCTTCCCTAGCCCTCCTCTCTCTCTCTCTCTGCCAAGGTCGTCAGGTTCAATTCTTTCAACCTCTACTCACAGGGCATTTCTCACGGTAATAGTACTAATCGGGTTGCAGACTTAATGACCTTGAATTTCTGCGTGAGTTTTACTAGGTGTGAGAGCCGTGTGCTCAGTAATTTGCCTATCATATGTCCTACATTATGTTTTGAATGATTCTTTAAGGTTTCTGAATGTTGTACTAATGCTTGCTAATCTTGTATATGCTGCCGATGTTTTATAGTTTGTGAAATTCTGGCGATATTCTTGGTCTTATATTTACCCCAAGCCCTCTTCGCTCTCGTATTTGCAGCTTCTCTCCCAAGGTGAAGTCAACTCACCTATTTGTGGTTGCAGAGGTTCAGTTGCAGCTCTTGGCTCCGCTTCTTCGATGGTCGTGTGTGTGCGTGTATGTATAAAAACGCAAGTAAGCGAGCAAGAAAATAATTAAGTAGGTGCCGAGGAAGGAGGCCTTAAATGCTTGGAGCAAAAGTGGCCAGCATCAAGGCCACTCAGGGCCTCTCTGAGTGACCTTCCTGCCGGCTTCCCCTGCCAACAGTAACTGAAGTGTTGAGAGAGTGGACTCAGTGGCGGGAGAGGCAGTCGTCACCAGCTGGCGTGGGGTGTGCAGGCGTGGCTCCCGCGCAGTAATATACTTCCATCACTATTCTAAAAGGTATTTATCATTATTAGACTGTTATTTAACACTGAGGCTTAACAAATAGGCATTCTCTTATGTTTTGTGTCATTCTGAAACTTTAATCTCTGTGAAATATTGGTTTTGTTGTACATATTATTGTGTGGCTAAGAACATTGAGTGACCAACGTGGTCGAAGTGCTCAAATAATACTTGATGTGACAGATTAGATTTTTAGATTTTGCCACTGAAGTGGCTAGTTTATTGTGCACCCCATATCCATCCTGTCGACAGTAGCGTAAAAGCATATGGATAAACAAAAGGTCTAGGAACTAGGCCCAAAAAAGGCTAACAGGTGTACATATGAATTTATAACTACATATCTACAGTTCACTTATCTGTTAGAAGCAAATTTAGGAAATTTGCTTGGTATATCTAGTATCTTATTTTCATTAATAAGATATCTTGACATGTCACATGGGTTATTATACTGTCTATCTCTGTATTCCTCAATAAGTGGACAATTAAGCACATAGTGTTCAAGACAGTGACCATATGCCTGATCACATAATTTGCATTTACTTTGATCATCATCTGTGTGTCTCCCAAACTGCCAGAAGTACTTGTAACCAAGCCTAAGCCTGGCCACTACAACATCAGTCAGTCTGTTCACATTACAAGTTGCTCCATAAACATACTTATCTACGTTCATGTTATCATAGTGGGTTATAGATCTACTCAGGTTTCTAACTGCATTCCTTTAACAATCATTTTCATTATTTACTTCTCTCCTAATATTATTCCTAATGCTAGACACAGATGTACCAAAGTTATATTCTACATTCTCCTTCTGGGTACTCTTCTTGGCTAACATATCAACTTTATCACGAAGGAGTAATCCAGTGTGTGATGGGATCCATAGCAATTATTAATTAATTTCTTTGTCCCTGATTTTTGAGTATCTATACCTGGCTTGTCCAGTGAGCATGTTGTTGGAGTCATTATATGAGTCGAGAGCCTTAAGTGATGACACAGAATCAGTAATGATGATAGTCAAGCTCAGTGTCATAAGTTAGCTTTAGCGCCATTAGGATTGCAAATAATTCAGTAAGACGTATGTTGAAAATGGTATTAAATACTTACAAGTCGTTATTTTATACCATTTTCAACAAGACTAGTACTTCACAGTGAATGTTTCTTGATTCGTATTGAATGGTGACCTGTGAACCGAGCAGTGCTCTTTGTGTCCTGTCATCGTGAGTATTATTATTTTTTTTTTTTGGCCTTTAAACCGCGATATATCCTCATCATATTATTTAACACTGAAGATCTTTATCTAATAGATTCTCGTGTGTTTTGTCTATCTAATTTTTTTTTGTTCTCTGTGAATGCTTCTTGTTTTGTAGTGAATTTTGTGGAACTAGTTGTATGAGAACACCGGAAAACTCGGAAGATAAGACTGCTTATCAGATGACTTTTTATACATAAAATGTGTGTTTGACCCTGAGCACCTGGCGGCAGGTTGTGTGAGAATACCTTTTCTTAGAATTATTTTTATTATATTCAAAAACAAGCGTCAAATCCGTACGAGTCGTACAAATTTACTTATAGATACAGGAGCTGAGCAATGTTTTTTGTGGATAAATGTCTCACAGAACCGACAAGTTGATAAACTGGACACATGTGCAACACTTGGGTATCTTCTTTGTGAAAATGTTTCGCCACACTGTGGCTTCATCAGTCTAATACAAAGAAGAAATGTGAACTTCATAAGGAGACTCAGGTAATCAGTCCCTCAGCCTGAGGGACTCATTTCCTCAAACTGTTCCTGTTTATGACAAATTAAAATGCGAAGATCTCATCCAGCTTCTCTGAGCTGGGGCCCTGCCCAAGATACAGCAAACATTACTTCTCTGAACCACAGCGCTGAGTCGCTAGAACAGAAACCTAGCCGCCCTGGAGTCCCCAGTTACCCTGAAAGAACTTAGATGCACTTTTTCCATGCGCCAAGGGTCTCTGAGCCTATACCTGGATCAATGCCTCCCTCGGTCCGGTCTGTAACCAGGCCTCGCGGTGGATCAGGGCCTGATCAACCAGGCTCTTACTGCTGGCTGCACGCAAATCGACGTACGAACCACAGCCCGGCTGGTCAGGTACTGACTTTAGGTGCCTGTCCTGTGTCTTCTTGAAGACAGCCAGGGACCTATTAGTAATCCCCCTTATGTACGCTGGGAGGCAGTTGAGCAGTATTCGGCCCCTGACGCTTATTGTGTTGTCTCTTGGGAAAATGTTGCATCTTCTGCCGAGTTTTTATGCTGTGGTAAGGAGTGATTTTCGTGTGTAAATGTGGTACTAATCCCTCTAGGATTTTCTAAGTGTATATTATCAACAATCTTTCTCGCCTGGGTTCCAGGGAACACAATTCAAGGGATTTCAACTGTTCCCAGTAATTTAGGTGCTTTATCATGCTTATGTGTGCCGTGAAGGCTCTCTGTACATTCTCCATGTCAGCAACATCGCATGCCTTGAAAGGCCATTAGTATACAGCAGTATTTCGGCCTAGAAAGAACGAGTAATTTGAAGAGAATTATCATGGACTTTGAATCCCTAGTTTTGAAGGCACTCATTATCCATCCTATCATTTTTTTATTAAATGTGACAGATACATTGTTGTAATCTTTGAAAGTGAGATCCTCTGACATTATCACTCCCAGGTCCTTCACAATAGTTTATTGCTCTGTTGTTTGGTTGGAATTTGTTTTATACTCTGGTATAGTTTTAATTTCCTCAAGTTTTCCAGTTTGGAATAATTGAAATTTCTCTTCGCTGAACTTCATATTGTTTCCCACGGCCAATTTGAAGATTTGGTTGATGTCCGCTTGGAGTCTTGCAGTGTCTTAAATGGAGGACACTGATGCAAATTCGGGTGTCATCTGCAAAGGAAGACATAGTGCTGTGTCTTACATCTCTGTCTATGTCGGATATGAGGATGAGGAACAGGATGATTGCGAGTACTGTGACTTGTGGAACAGTTTTTCACTATAACCACCTCAGACTTTACTATGTTTACTATTACTCTTTGTGTTCTATGTGTTAGGAAGTTATAGACCCATCTACCAACTTTTCCTGTTATTCCTTTATCATGAATTTTGTGTGCTATTGCACTGTGGTCGCACTTGTGGAAGGCTTTCGCAAAGTCTGTGTATACTACATCCGCATTTTGTTTGTCCTCCAGATCATCAAAGACTTTGCCATAGTGGTCCAGTAGTTAACCCAAGCAGGAGCGGCCTGCTCTAAACCCATGTGTGGTGTGGGTTGTGTAACTGATGGGTGGCGATCTAGCTTCTTAGAACCCTTTCAAAGATTTTTTATGATATGGGATTTTAGCACTATCGGTCTGTAAATCTTTGCAGTTGCTTTACTGCTCCCTTTGTGGAATGCCTCTATGTTGTTTTTAGTGACTTATGATTCCTGTGTCCATGCTTCCTCTCCATAAAATGCTAAAGCACATGACGGGCTTCTTGCTGTTCTTGACGAACATGGAGTTCCACGAGACTGGGCCTGGGGCAGAGTGCATGGGTAAATCTTTTATGGCCTTTTTGAAGTCATGTTTATATAATGATGGACAAGTTCACCATATTTTCTAGACTTCTGGGACTCCTCGAAACTGGCAGCTGACCCTTTCTCCTGCCTGGTGTATTGGAGATAGGTATCGGCCTGTGTGGGTGCACATGTATAGTCCTGCACCACCTGCTTGCCATCTGTCCTGGCTTGAAGGGTGATACTATGTGGACAGTTTCAGTTACAATCAGATCTACATAGTAGGGGTAACTCCCTCACTACTGGGCATTCAGCTGTTGTGAGGCTCCTCTTGGTAATGTTATTAACCTTTTCATGCTGTGGAATCTTTCCCTTGGATCTACAGTACACAAGACCATGATACCTGAATACAACTGTGTTCGGAAAGAATAAGGTTAGCAAGTGGAAGGGTAACACCAATGCGGATGGTCTTTGGGTCAAGTCATATGCTAAGGGTGGAGTTGGGAATAGCCAACAGAAAGTTCTCTGAATAAGGAGCTCTCACTACAAGAACCAGGTTCTGTTCTTCCCCGACACACTGAAGGATGAAGGATATATTCTTCACTATTGGGTCATCCCAGTGTGAATGTTTGTAGTTGTTGGAGAGCGCAGGTCTAGTTTCAAAGCCTGTTAGATTATCCCAGAGTGTGGCTCCACAATAAGTTGTGTAATAATTTAGTAACATTATATGATACACAAGTTACAGGAGGGCCCAGTATCCGCGGGTTCAGTTCCGTTGTTTCAGTTATCCACTTCTCACGGTGGCCTGAAAATATTAAGAGGGGGAGCAGGATTCTACTAGGAAAACTGCAATAATCTGATTTCCTTTATTTTTTATTAAAAGTTAGGAAGGTGGTCCAAAGCGTATACTAGACATTTAGTGAAGTTTCCCCAAAAATGAGACGAGAAAAAAATAAAATAATGCTTTTTTATATGGCAACACCTTGGTAAAATTTGTGCCAGATTGTTAATGTTTAGGATTTTACAGTTGACTTTACATGAACAAAACTGAAGACGAATTGTATTGGAATTGAACGACACATTATTATTTTGTAGCCCAAATAATTCTTTTTTTGGGGGGTATTTTAAAGTAAAACAAACGGTAAAGGCTATTACAAATTCTGTTCGTGGGATTGTAAAACCAAGATTCCTTCCTTTCCACTAAATCTACTCCTTTTTGAATCTCTTCCTCACTGATCAGTCGTCTAACACAACGTCACAGTACTTACACCATCACCTCACTTCATCTCATCATCGTAGGCATTGTAGCATCGTCACATCATCACATGGTGAGGAGTCCGGGCTCGATTCCCGGCGTGGCTAGAAACATTGAACGTATTTCGTTACACCGGTTGTCTATGTTCACCCATCAGTAAAGTTGGTACCTGGGAGTTGGTCGATTGGTGTGGGTCGCATCATGGGGAAAAATTGACCTAATTTGCCCGAAATGCTCTGCATAA